AAAGAAAGAATATATATATATATATGGAGAAAAAATTAGACATTGTAGACCACTACATATACCTTGGCCAATGGATCAGTGATACAGTAAAGGAAATTGAACAGGGTGTTAAATGTGGCTGGTAGGCATTTGGCAAGCTAAGCATAATTTTCAAGAACAACCTCTCCCTGAAGAGAAAGGTTTTCAGCCAGTGTGTGCTACCTACTCTAACATATGCCGGTGAAACATGGACACTAACCTCATAATCGATACAAAAGTGAAGAGTGACACAATTGGGGCAAAAAGCCATAGAAAGATACATGCTTGGTATTACAAGATAAGATAGAAAGACTTGTACATGGATTAGAGAACAAACTAAAGTATACAATATCATCAAAAGAGTAACAGAATGATAAAGGAAATGGGCTGGTCACATACCAAGAAGAACTGATGGCAGGTGGACTAAGGCAGTCATGGCAGTCATAGAACGGATCCCACTTGATAAAAAGCATCCACAAAAGAGAACTAAAACAAGATGGATCGACAACATCAGCAAGTATTGCGGGCCCAATTGACAAAAGAAAGCTCAGGACCATATTGATTGTGGAACAGGCTTTCCTCCTGCAGTGGATAGACAATGGCTAAAATGATGATGATGATGATGATGATGATGATGATGATGATGAATGACACATAAGAATCTAGTCAATTAACATTCAGTACTAAACTGGTGCCAGATTAAGGATCAACAGAATTCAAAAGGGTTGGATTTGGACCATTTGTAGCAATATAACAATGCTTAGCTGCTGACACGCTTAACTCTGCCCCCCAGGTTTACCTGCTCTTCTATACTTTGGCATATGTTGTAATATGTTCTGCAATGTCAGTAACTTCTTAAAGCAGTTGAATATTTTTTAGAAAGTGTACAGCTGCCTACTGCAGCTATATGAGTTGGTTTAATGAATTATAAGTAGTTGCTACATTATGCCTTTGCACATTCTGAATTTTTGCCTTTGAATCCATGCCCTACCCAGCCTGAATACATATTTTCCAAATGGACTTCAGTTTCAGAAGAGTGACTATGTATCCTGAAGGGACACACACAATTATCTTTGTTTTCTGTTTGTTCCACATACACATGCATACACGTGGACATACACATAGATAACTGTTGTTATCCAGATATTTTCCTCACCAAGATGATCCTGTCACAGTAGGAATTACAGTTCAGTAATATTTTCAAAGTCACAAGATCTCCATCCTTAACTTACAGTTGGCTGAATCATAGAACACGCAAAAATGCAGCCTCCAAATAGGATTAACTTTGCTATAGCTAAGAAACATTGTCCCCTCTTTATGGAAGGCTTTCCAAGTCAGCTTTCATTCTGTAGCTTTCATTCTACAGGTTGCACTCCAAACCCTAGGTCTAGCTTTGATAGTCAAATGCTAACTAAGCTCAATTTCATGGTCTCAATCCACCAACAGTAATTTAAATAATATACCATTAGTAAATGTCAAAGAGAATCTTTGAGACTATTTGCTTATTCTTCTAGTATTTGGCGCCCCCTAGAGTTATAAAACATTTGTTACATGGAATAGATAGGAATGTCAATCTAGATCAGTGATTCTTACTTAACCTTTTTGAACGAATAGCCCCCTTGAGCCAATGAGGAAGTTGTCATCGCCCCCCTCCCCCAACATAACTTCTCAATCACAACATAGGAAATAATTCTTCAATTTATGCAAATACTTTGTTTTCTTTAAAATTGTCATCAGGACATATTGATGCAAATAGTTTATTTCCAGTCTTTTTCTCATATCTCAACTGTGAAAAATTTTGGTGCCACCCGGCACTTTATTCCCAAACTTTGTGATACATGTATTTCATTATTATCTTATTTATTCAAGACACTTAAATGTAATGACCACTGAAAACAAAATTCAATTGCAAGAAAGTGAAATGCCCGAAAAGAAAAACAGTAACATTTAATAACTGAATTACAAGTGAAATTTAAGACACAAAAAGAAATATAAAAAGGGCATAAGAACAAACCGCAATGCAAGAACTAAGAATTTCAAGACGAAAACTCTGAAACTAAATTAAGATTTGAGGAAAGTATATATTGTCACGCACACTATAAAAAGGATTAAAAAGACACAAAGAAAATACAATATCAAACTGGAGTGCACGCTAAAAAAGTACAATACAAAAAGACACACAAAATGTTTTATAGAGCACAACAAAAATTCGAAAACAAAGCTGAAAACTCAAACTGTGATGTCAACATTACAGCTGACGTCACAGGGGACAGCCACTCAGCATGCGATATTTCGAAAGAAGCGCTCCCCCCTCCATCACTGCCCATTCTGGCCAATGGCGCGCCACTGTATGGGTAGAGGCTGCTGCGCAACGCGCATGAAAATAAGCGATGCGTATTCACATATGTACGGCATTCTGTACTGAAGCTAGCTGGAGGAACATTTGAAAACAATTCAATCCACTAACAGCAAGCGATCTGATGTTTTTGTATGACAGATATACAGCGATTCACTGTATGAAAAAGTCTCAAAAGTGTCCCCCAAACTTCTCGTTCCATCACCCCCATATCGTCCCCTTTTCGTTCCTTCGCCCCCACATCGCCCCTTTTTGTTCCATCACCCCCCTGAAAAATGAAATCGCCCCCTGGGGGGCAATATCGCCCAGGTTAAGAACCACTGATCTAGATCACTCTAAAAACAATTTGTACTCAGGAAAGTTTTCTAATGAGCTCCCGTAACTTCTATAAATTAGTACATGTGAGAACTTCAATCTCATACATTTTTTGCTCAAAATATCAGTATCTAAATGTAAATACTCTAAGTTAAAAATAATTATATGGGACTTTTGAAATAAAGGTATTTAGAACAGAATAGGAAGGGACCTTGGAGGTCTTTTAGACCAGCCCTCTGCTCAAGCAGGAGAACCTATACCATCTCAGGCAAGTGAATGTCTAGTCTCTTCTTTAAAATCTCCAGTGATGGAGTGCCTACAATTTCTGGAGGCAAGCTGTTCCACTGGTTGATTGTCCTCACTGTCAGGAAGTTTCTCCTTAGTTCCAGGTTGCTTTTCTCTTTGATTAATTTCCAACCATTGTTTCTTGTCCTTCTATCTGGTGCTTTGGTGAACAACCTGGCCCCCTCTGCCTTGTAGTAGCCCCTCAGATACTGGAACACTGCTATCATGTCTCCCCTGTTTCTTCTTTTCTTTAGACTAGCCAAACCCAAGTCCCGTAGCCGTTCTTCGTATATTTTAGTCTCCAGGACCCTGATCATCTTAGTTGCTCTTCTCTAGTTTCATTTAAAAAGAACAACCCAAAACAAAGGCCAGGGAATTTCCAAAAGTTATCCTATACACAACCTTTTTAAATGAATGAGAACTATGGAAAAGAAACCTGTAACTCTATTCGTTTTAATGACCTCTGCATTGGGGAATGCCTTCTTGTAATATTCTGATTTTTAAGGTGGGCTGCAAGGGAATAATGTAACACAGCAGCTTGTCTCCTGAATTAATTTGGCTGTTGAAAACAGCTTTCCTCTTCTGATTCCTTCCAAATGTGTTGGACTTCAAATCCCATTATGATTGAAGTAATTGATTGATTTGAATATTCTACTTCCAAAATTTGTAAGTATAATGTGGATTGTGGTCGCAGAAATATTATGAACATTGTTCAACCATTAGGAGGTAAAGAAAAGTGCATTAAATTGTTTGAAGTTGATGAATTTAAACATATTTAAATCCATGCTGCTTGTAATTAACAAAAGAACTAACAAATGTAATCTGTGACATAGATACTAATTCAGAGCAATAAATTCAATTCCCTTGCTTTTCCAATTGTAGCTTCTTTTTATGAATCTGCACTTGGTTAAGGCATCAGGCTAGAAATTGGAAGGCTGTGAGTTCTAGTTCTGTCTCCAACACAAAGCCAGCTGGGTGATCTTGGACCAGTCACTTTCAGCTCTAGAAAAGAGACAATGACCAATCACTTCTGAAAAACCTTGCCAAGAAAACTGCAGGGATGGAACCATTTTCTGCTAGCCAATTTATGTAATATGATATAATTGACGTCAATGGCAAGTAGGTTCTTTTAATCATTATTGGTCAATAAAACAAATGCATTCTTACATGGAGGATAAAAGTAAATGTATTAGACCAATATAGGTTTTGTAGGATGGTCCTTGAAGAAAATCCAGAAATTGGAGCCATCTCAGAACGTGGCAATATGGGCCAATGGTGATTGATACCTCCCTGAGGTCTCTACCCCATTTTGAAAAATTCTCTTCCAGAGTTTTTCTACATAGTCACAGTGATGCTTAAACTGTGATGCTTAAAGTCTTACACATGTATACTTATGAGAAGACCTGTTTGTGTATAGTCTTTACATCTTATCTCATCAATGAAGCATTTTTAATGAGGCTCATGACTTAAACTGTTGGCATCCAATGTAGCTTTCTTGATTTTGGGATTCATTTTATGGAATAAATTTCCTATGGAACTGAGGCAAGGCATAACCTTAAATTTGGGCCTCAAAATGTATTTCTTCAGTTTTTGCAATGCTTACTGTCTTAGCTGTAAGGTTATGTTTTGTTTTAATATGAATTATTTTTAAAAGGTACCTTAATACATTTTGTAAACTATTCATTGCCATTAAGGGAGCAGGTTGCAGATATGGAATATAAATAACAGGGATTTTCTACTTCCCTGTTATAGTCATTATGCTTATGACAACCTGTTGAAATGTCATATAACCTTTACTGATTGGAAACAGTGGCAAAAGCTTAGTGTTTATTAAACGGTGCTCCCAATGGCTATTTCCAAATTAAACAAAGTCATCACTGCCAATTAGTTCTACATTTTGCATGTTTGTCAAATAATATGCTTTGCCTTGTTAAGAAAAAAAAAAAGGCAAGGTTCCACGGGCAAACTAGGCAACTTGTCGGTTTCACACGTTAAAAGCTTGCACGCTGAGTTCCAGTCTCGTTACCTTGCAAGGATCTTAGGCGCGCTCTAACCGCTACGCTTTCTGACCACACCACGCCATCTAAGAAGAGATTCCCCAAACAGAGCAGATGTTGGTTCTCACCCCGCATTGTAGAACTAGGGCTACCCTATCCGGGCTGCATAACATGGAGAACGAAGACAACAAAAAGAGGAAAGTCTGGCCCGTGGCTGCCTCCCAGCGGACTTCCGGAATTTGCAGCACAGGTGGGACAGCTCTAATCTAAATCCAAACACCAGCAATAACAAATCCCCCTCCCCCCTTCACCATGGCGTATATGAGTGTGCGTGTTTGCTATTGGCTTCTCGGGTAATTATTTTCTGCTTGGCCAATGAAACTTCTCTGCGAAAAAATCCCACCCCTTTTTATTAAACTCTGTTTTTCTGTTTGTTTTTCCTCTTCTTCTCCCAGGTCCTTGTCTATCAATCAATTATAAGCGTGACAGTACCCTGTACATCGATTGGTGAGGATTCAAGTCAATTTGTGATTCCGTCCAAACGATTGGACTTTCCATTGATGTCCGTCATTGTCAAACCCGTTCTTTTACATTGGCTAAACTTGGACGTTTCAGCAGACAGGAAAGATTGGTAAGAACAGATGCCAATCATTTGGAGGCAGTTATCTGAGCGAACAACGTGTATTTTGATTGATCAAACAGTGTAATCCTTGAACGGCGATTGGTCATGTCTCGGTAGAATAGGCGGGGATTACAGGGCGGTGCCCGGTCTGCTGAGGAGGAAAATGGCGCCTTGAGGGGGGTCCGGACTGCTGCCGATTCCTTGCTAGCAGGCGAGTGAGCTCGGGGGAGCGAGTTCGTGCTCGGGAAGAAATGGGAGGAGAAATCAAGAGATGGAGTGGTGTGATAAATGGAGGAAGAGGTGGGATCTGTAAAGCGAGTAGGGGGCCTTTTGTTGGGAGGGGGCCCCCGAGCGCGCGAAGAGGGCTGAAGCAACTGGGACCGGAAGGAGGCGGGGCTAAGATGAGAGCCCGCCTCCGGGGACCCATAAGAAAAACAGGCATGGGTGACGGGGGCAGAACGAGAGTGTCCATTCAATATTCTTGGGTTCAGAGAGCGGGAGGCGGGAAACGACGGGATAGTTTGGCGTTGTTTTTTTCTATTGGCAGTATATCTGTACTTTTTAACAATAACCTGAAAGCAAACAAGTGGACCTTTGTGTAATATTTTTGCTTCAAATATATGTTTGATGTCAGGTTATTTTGAAAGGTATAGGGTTATGAACTTATGTAGATTAAGAAAATAGTATAAGAATGGAGAATTAAAAGAGCTGGAGGATGGACAACGACAGTCCAGTCAAGTAATAGTAGAGAATGGGTGTGCATGAAAAGAGTTGAGATGGTCACCTAATGCAGACGACAGTGAGAATAAGTAGTTATAGGGCACTGAGACAAGCCTAAGGGCCATGCAGCATCCTGGTTACTTGGAACCAGGAAAGGGAAAGATGGGTGTGGGGATTCCAAAGACGAGAAAAAATGGACTGGGATAATGCTACCTCTAATCATAGGACAGATGTTCAGTACAAAGGTACAGGACAGTGGAGAAAGAGAAGGATGTAACAAATGACTGTAAACGATGGAGAAAGTCAAGCTTAGCATTTCAAACCTTTGGACTTAAGTAACAGGCAAGTTTCCTCAAGTATCGGTAGTATATTCAGATGTACTGAGAATAAAATATAATTGATGGGGGGGGGTGCAGGGGACATGATAACACAATCTTGCTGTGCTTTAGATTGCTTGCTTCAATAGCCATACTGTATTTGCACAATGATTTATTGAATTAATCCAGTTTAAGCTTCATTGTGATTAGTTTATAAGCACACAGAAGTCTAAAATTAGTCATAGAACCCCCTTGATTTAACAGACCTCAGTTTAGTTGAACTTTGAATGCATTGAACAAAATTGATTCTTATACTATGTGAATGTGTAAAATCCCAACTGCTATTGCATGCATGCTCCAGATATTTAAAACATGCGTATATAAAATCCCGTTCCTCTTTTATAATTATTCTGCTTTAACTTTGTTTATAATACAGTGAGGTGGCTCACCCAACACATTGAAATACAAATTATCCAACTGTAGTTTAGGGCAGTGTTTTCTGCAGACCTAACCAATGGAATTGAGGAAGAAATGGTCCATAGGATGCTAAAGAACAATCAGAAGGAGACCTTTTCCCCTGAAGATATAGCACAGATCATGGGGCTAATGCTTGGTATGTTGAATCAGAAGGCTTTGTTTACTGTTCCAATTAAAAAGTCTAAACAATCTAGCAACAAGGCATACATTTATTTATTGTACTGTGATTATTATTGCAGTATATATAACTCTGATATAATTTGCAATGGATACTTTTAAATAAATACTAAATTTAATATATTTGATCCAACCTTAAAAAGATTTTTTCTTAAAATTTCTGAATTATTTCAAAAATAAGATGTTACATACAAAATAACTGCAAAGACAATAAAAAGAAATTACAGACAAGTCAAAAAAGAAAGGAAAATAAGAAAGTGTGCACAATATATACAGAGATTCAACATTAAACACACATAGTTTTTATAAATATTTTTGTGAACTTATTGTGAGTTGGGCTGAGAGAGTGATTGGCCTAAAGTGACAGTTCTCTAAGAATGCTTGACCCAAAGTAATACAACTGGCCTAAGGGAAGCTTAGAACTAACTTTCCTGATTTCTACCCAATATATTAACTACTATTCCAAATTGGCTATAGGTCCTAAACCACATAAAAGTCTGAAAAATTGAGGGAAAAATTGTGGAAAAAGAATAAGATTTACCAGTGATAGTAAATGGTGTGGGCCTAATAGAAAGTTAAATGTAAAGAAAAAGAATGGATACTCTGATGACTACTAGCCCATAGCTTGTGTTTATTCCTCTCTTTTTAAGGAAGATGAGTTTAACAGCCAATAATACTGGTCTCCAGGATTTAAGGATCTCAGTCATGGCGATTCCTTGAATTAAAAAAATAGGGATTTTAGCATACAATATAAATAAAATAATTTAAGTTTTAAAAATGATATTAAAAATACTTGGTTACTTGTGGCTGAGATTTTTTTCTCTTTGAGTCAAAACTTGGTTTTAAAATGTTGAATCCTTCCTCACTGGTTGATTGATATTTAACCTTAATCTTGCAAATAAGAATTTGCTATAAAGGTAGCCCTTGATTTAACAACAGTTCATTTAGTGACTGTTTGAATTTACAACAGGACTGAAAGAAGTGACTTACAATCATTTTTTTTCACACAACCTTTACTGCATTCCCATGGTCACATGATCAAAATTGAGACACGTGGCAACTGATTCACCTTTATGACGGTTGTAGTGTCCCAGGGTAATGTAATCACTTTTTGCAACCTTCTGTTTTTTGTCAAATAGTGTAGGGTTTCCTGCCTGAGCAGGGAGTTGGACTCGATGACCTCCAAGGTCCCTTCCAACATCATCATCACCATCATCATTATTATTGCAGTAAATTCACTTAACTGTGGCAAAAAAGGTCATAAAATAGGGAAAAACTCACTTAGCAACAGAAATTTTGGGCTCTATTGTTGTCATAACTCAGGGACTACCTGTATTAGAGCTTCTGCTGTGGGCTTCCAGCACACCATGTTCTAAACTGTGAAAGCCATCATGCACTATGAATGTAGGTTAGAACATAGAAAATCCTACTAAACAAGTAAGTCATATAATTTTCTTATTCTCGTTGTCCTTTTGAAAGCCTATGAACCATCATTTCAATTTATGTCACATGAACATTATTGCTGTTGCAAGATGCCCAGAATTGTTTAAGATGGACAGCCATACAACTCTTATGGTTTAAATAAATACATCTAGAAACCTAATTGTCTGTTAAAAGTAATGATCAGAGTGGGATATTTTTCTCTTTCTCATCCTCTTTCAAAACATTATTTCATTTTGCCTAATCTTATGTAGTTGGTAGAATGAAGCAGTTATTTGCTTTTACCCTTGCTTCCATTGAGAGGATACAATTGTTGATGAAGAACTTCAAAGAAATGTGTTCATCTAGATTTGCCATCTAGGATGTCTGTGCTAAAGGAACTAATCATAATTTTGGTTGTATTTCTTATAAATATGCTTCTCTTGTGGATTTAGGAAACATTGGTGAGCTATATTATTTTTATAGTCTACTTGGGATCCCTATTGAGCCTCATACTTGTGGCTGGGCTAATTGATCAACATACCACTCTTTGGCAATTGAGCTACTTTTTTGAAGAACTAAATGGGTAGGTAATACCTGACACGGAAAAGTATGGTGTTATTAGGGTGCAAAGGAAGAGGTAATTCCAAATGTATCTTTTTCTAGGCTTTAAAATATATGTTTGGTTTGAGGAGGCGCTGACAGTTATAACACTGGTTCACATACATGCTCTGAATGACCTTTTCTCTTTGGAATTTTAGTCATATGACCAGGGCTTTTTTTCTCATAGAACACCCAGAACGGAGTTCCGGCACCTTTTTTGGATGGAACCTTGTAGGGTAGGCAAGGCGGGTTGTATGACATGTGTGAGTTCCGGCACTTTTTTTTTTTTTTTTTTTTTTACAAAAAAAGCACTGCATTTGATAATGCAGCATGAACAAAACAGTGCTTAGAAGGCTAAAAGTTATTTTTTGTTGTTTCTTTCCCGCGCTAGTCATTCTGTTACCATCTTTCTTTTCCTGGTTCCTTCATTTTGTTAATAATCTCTATGTTTTCAAATTTATCTCCACAACAGTAAAATCTAGAGATTTGCTTTTGGAATACTTCTCATATACAGAATTCTATGAATAAGTTGTCACAATTAAATAAAATTGCTGTTTAGTATTTTAGAATAGATATTTGTAGGATGTGTCAAAGCCAATATTACCATTTTTTTAGCTCATTGCATATGACAAATGTGTAAGCACCATAAAACAATGCATATAGTTTTATATTGACGCTCATACTTTCTTTTTATTGTTCTGATATTTTTCAGTTCAACTAGCAAAAAATGCTTAAGGTGGATTACAATTCATTTAAATAAATACTTTAGTTATGGGTACAATTCTGTTCTCCAGTTTTATGCTGTGAATAATTTTAACTGAAAACTAGTATATTATGACAGTCAGACAATATCTCTTTCTTGCACACAATATAAATGTTACTATCAGTATTGAAAAACAATTTAGATTAATTGATTAACCAACCCTTTTTTTTCCAGATTTAGAGACAGTATGGCTGCCACTGCTGCAGTTAGCCCCA